TCACTACCATTCACAAAGAGACACGACACAAGGGAAAATCCCAGGTGGCTCCTTTTTTCATCAGTTAACCACTTTAGAAAATCCCAGGTGGCTCCTTTTTTAATCAGTTAACCACTTTTCACCCAAACACAAATCAATTGTCAGGACTGTTTTCTGACAAACGTGAATGGTTACTGAGCACACAAGGGTATCCAGGACCCATCTTTGGACTTTGTTTTTAAATTACCAAGCAACTGTAAAGTGAAAAGATGGGTAGAATGAAGACTATAACAAGATATAGGCACTAAAGCTCTGCTAACATCAAGTAAGACCATCCTCAGCCAAAGCAAAAAAAATTGGCATCTTAAACAAGTTAACTTCTGTATATTTGTTCTGTTTTTTCAAATATATTTTAAAATATTTTTACAACCAGACACAGAATCCCTTTCACAACACCGATGTCTGTTTGGCTACGAAGACATTTAAAAGTTCTCCTCCTGAGAGTCAGCTACAGTGGACCCTCAACTTACGGGCGGCTCCACTTGCGTACTTTTCGAGTTACGGACTTCTCCGGCAGCAAAATTTCACTTCGACTTGCGGCCGGCAAATTGACCTACGGACCGGAAAGGGGAGGCAGGGAAAGCGCCAAATTCAATTTCGGCGGTTTCCCTACCTCCCCTTCCGCTCCGTAGGCCACCGATCATGCCTCCGGATGCCTTCCAGGGCTTCTCCGCCACCATGGGAGGCATCTTGGAGGTCCCCTGTCACCACCGCCGCTGCTGGGAGCCGAGCCACACTGGGCGATCCCGGCCATGCTCTGACTCCTGGACTTCCCCGCCACTACTGGGAACCAAGCCACGGTGGATGATCATGGCCATGCTCGGACTCCTGGACTTCCCCCGCTGCTGCCGCTGTCCGAGCACGGTGCGGCGCGGCTCCCAACAGCAGAGGTCCTGGAGTCTGAGCATGGCCAGGAGTCCGAGCAAGGTGCTGCTTTTTGCTTTTATTTTCTTTTTTTGGTGTGTTGGGTGTATTTTTTCTTCAGCCGGTTATGGATTAATGGGTTTTCAATGCATTCCTATGGGAAATGGACCCTCGACCTACAGACTTTTCGACCTGCGGCCACTGTTCCAATACGGATTAATTCCGTAAGTCGAGAGTCCACTGTAATTGGTTCCTGACAGGCTCATTGGTCAGTCTGCCTCAGACCTGGAGCTGATTTCCCCCTTGGAGACATGTCAAGATCTGGTCTCAGACTTAAAAGCACTCGAGGCTCAGACACAAGTGCTCTGTGCCTTACTTTCAATATGCCTAACAAAACTGTACACTAATTCCCTGGAGATACGTGGCAAAATGTTCCCCATTTCTTGAGTACTATCACTCCATTTCTTTCTTTAAACTAAGCCTGTTTGTTTAGGGGGGGGTTGTTTTTTACTCTTCAAAGAAAACCTGTCTTTTGACTGTCCTTTGTCTCAGACTTAAAAGCACTGAAGGCTCAGACACAAGTGCTCTGTGCCTTACTTTCAATATGCCTAACAAAACCGTACACTAATTCCCTGGAGATACGTGGTGAAATGTTCCCCATTTCTTGAGTACTGTCACTCCATTTCTTTCTTTAAACTAAGCCTGTTTGTTTAGGGGGGGGTTGTTTTTTACTCTTCAAAGAAAACCTGTCTTTTGACTGTCCTTTGCCCTCCAAACATCTCCCTTCTTGGGAGCCTAGATTTGAATCTCAGTAAGTACCCAGTAAGTACCCTGCCAACCTAGCAGTTCAAAAGCATGTTGTTGAGTGAGTACCACCTCGGTGGGAAGGTAACGGCGTTCTGTGTCTAGTCGCACTGACCATGTGACCAGGGAAACTATCTTCGGAGAAACCCTGGCTCTATGGCTTGGAACCGGGGATGACTAAGCCTGTTTAGGGGGGGGTTGTTTTTTACTCTTCAAAGAAAACCTGTCTTTTGACTGTCCTTTGCCCTCCAAACATCTCCCTTCTTGGGAGCCTGGATTTGAATCTCAGTAAGTACCCAGTAAGTACCCTGCCAACCTAGCAGTTCAAAAGCATATTGTTGAGTGAGTACCACCTCGGTGGGAAGGTAACGGCGTTCTCTGTCTAGTTTAGGGGGGGGTTGTTTTTTACTCTTCAAAGAAAACCTGTCTTTTGACTGTCCTTTGCCCTCCAAACATCTCCCTTCTTGGGAGCCTGGATTTGAATCTCAGTAAGTACCCAGTAAGTACCCTGCCAACCTAGCAGTTCAAAAGCATATTGTTGAGTGAGTACCACCTCGGTGGGAAGGTAACGGCGTTCTCTGTCTAGTCGCGCTGGCCACGTGACCAGGAAAACTGTCTTCGGAGAAATCCTGGCTCTATGGCTTGGAAACGGGGATGAGCACCACATCCTAGAGTCGGACATGACTGGACTAAATGTCAAGGGGAACCTTTACCTTTACCTAAGTACCCAGAAGAAGGGAATGGTAAACCGCTTCTGACTACTCTCTACCTAGGAAACCATGAAACCAGTTGCTGCAAGTCAGAATTAACTTGATGGAACACATTATTAAGCTATGCACACCACATTGTGTCCAACATCACATCATAGATACAGGATGATTGAAATTTACAAATACTATCAGTACACTGTCTATTGTGTTTGTACACTCCAAAGTAGTTTTTTGTTATAAAATTCTTATATACAATCTTAACACCTCTCCGGTAACCCACTGCTTGATAATTTCTCTAGGCAAGTCGTAGTGATCTATCATGCCTGGAGACAAAAATCTCCATCATTCCTTTTATGACCTTTATCATTCCTACAGAGGCACTGGTACTGGAAAGGCGATCACCTTCCTATGATCTTCTAGGATCACACCAGCCATGGGAAGAGGCATTGTTTTCCATATCCTGGTCCTCTATTTTTGCCCTCAACTTTGCTGTGGACAATGCCAATTCTTTCCATGACCAGAGGAGGACTTCTGCACCAGAACTTTCCTCTCTGCTGGTGGATCTCCCTCTCCAACTGTGCGAGTGGCCCACAGTATCCTGGAAGTCTGTATACTTTCCCTGGATTGTAGCCTTAAATTAGCAATGTAATACAAGTGTATTCTCCCTCTGGACTGGATGAATCCCAAACCGGAATTAAGATTGCCGGAAGAAATATCAAAAACCTCAGATATGCAGATACCACTCTGATGGCAGAAAGTGAGGAGGAATTAAAGAACCACTTAAGGGTGAGGGTGAAAGAGGAGAGCGCAAAAAATGGTCTGACACACAACATCAAAAAAACTAAATCATGGCCACTGGTCTCATCACCTCCTGGCAAATAGAAGGGGAAGATATGGAGGCAGTGACAGATTTTACTTTCTTGAGCTCCATGATCACTGCAGATGGCGACAGCAGCGACAAAATTAAAAGATGCCTGCTTCTTGGGAGGAAAGTAATGACAAACCTAGACAGCATCTTAAAAAGCAGAGACATCAGCTTGCCAACAAAGGTCTGCATAGTCAAAGCTATGTTTTTTCCAGTAGTGATGTATGGAATCGAGAGCTGGACTATAAAGAAAGCTGAGCACTGAAGAATTGATCCTTTTGAATTGTGGTGCTGGAGGAGACTCTTGAGAGTCCCCTGGACTGCAAAGAGCACAAACCTATCCATTTTGAAAGAAATCAACCCTGAGTGCTCACTGAAAGGACAGATCCTGAAGCTGAGGCTCCAATACTTTGGTCATCTCATGGGAAGAGAAGACTCCCTAGAAAAGACTGAAGTTGGGAAAGTGTGAAGGCAAGAGGAGAAGGGGACAACAGAGGACAAGATGGTTGGACAGTGTCATTGAAGCTACCAACATGAATTTGACCAAACTCCAGGAGCAGTGGAAGACAGGAGGGCCTGGCGTGCTCTGCTCCATACGGTTACGAATAATCAGACATGACTTAACGACTAAACAACAACAAATTCTCCCTCTAAATTCAGCCAGGAACTGGGGCGGAGGGATTGAAAGAAATCAGCATTTTAATCTCAGTAGAAATGTTTAAGATCCTACCCTGGTTGTGTTCACAGATGTTGTCAATATTTCCTAGTCAAACCACATACATAGTACAGTACATACTTATTTGGACCACCAACAACAAAAATATAGTGTGCTTGAGTTCATTGCAATTTGCTTACATTATGGGTGCTGAGTCACAATGATGTCATACTAAAAATTTATGATGGTTCACAACTTATATTACAGTCTGTTTGCAACAGAATGAAAAATGGTTCTAAACAAATTCAATTAAAATGCTGTGATAGTAATTAGTGAAAATGAAAGGTTTTTCAACTGCAGCTTTAAAACAGCTAAAATTAACTTGCAGGATGTGTAACCCAATATTTCTCATTCCCTTGATCTTCTTATCTCCATGAGATAACTATCATACTGAAAAGCAGTATTCAGACTACTAAACAGACAAAAAAATAAATTAAAAATTTACTTTCCCCCTTTTCGTTCTAGCTCTTCCACACTCCTTGATGGCACCATCCATCAAAAGTGAGCTATCTCGGGATGGATCAAAACTCTGGTGTAATGTAATTACTGACCTAGAGGTATTGTACTGCACAGCATGAAATGGATTGGCAACCCCACTTTATGCCTTATGAACCAACTGACTAATGATTGAGTAGTACAATTAGAAAGAGAAGAATGGGAGAAATGAGACAGTTTTCCAGAGTCTGGTTACACAAGCCATTAAAGTGACTCTAATGAGCAGTGAACATGTTTAAGATGGTCAACAGTTCAGATATTTCACAATAGACTACTCATATAGGTGAAAAAGCATTGGAAACTCAAGTTCCTGTATGTCGTTTTTCATACACCCCACTCCATACATACCAGCAATAACTAGTCAAGCATCTGCTAGATGAAGCACATTAATGTTAACACTTTCCCCTAAGACTTAGAGCTTTGATCCTTTAATTTAAAATGATTTAGCTAGCAGGGAATTAATTAATCTGCAACAACCCAGTTCTCTCATTGTAGAATCACACTTAGGTCTGTAAGAAAAAATAACACTTTATTTGCAAAATAAAAGTAATTACATAGTGATATAAATAAACTGACATGTACAAATAATCTATGTATCTATCCCACAAGGTATATTCCTGCTCAAACATATGAATGTCAAAGTGGGTCACCAAAGTTATCTACAAAGCCCAAGGGTCTACAGCCTGGCTTAGAAATAAATTCTGAAATCTATGTATTCTTATACTGTACAAAGTTTCAACTTTCTTTTTTTCTACAAATAAATGTACTGAGTATGGAAATTACAGAGAGCTTCAAATTCTCACCTTCAAAACGTCTTCTTGAGGAGAATACAACTTGTATTAAATGAATTTCTTTCAGGGTTAACACGATGTAACGTGTATGGCCTAGCTTTAACCTCTTTCCTTCAGATCAAATGCAAATTTATGTTGAAGACTCCTATGGATTTATAACACTCTTAAAATGACAAGATACAGCTAAGCCGTGATCCTTAATGTGGATGTAAAGCTATACAACAGAGAATGCAAGAGGGTATTAACACTTCTCTTACACTGAAATGCAATTTCACATATAAGCTCCATTTATACAGGCACACAGACTTACTGAGCACAATTTCTCAGTTTCTTTTAAAACTTGAACACATTAATGTTCAACTCTGGCAAAAATAAAATAAAATAAAATATTGTCAAGGTAGAATCACAGTATCAAAAGCACGATCTTCTGGATTGGGAAAGGCTTTAACAATGAAACTATTCAACACTTTTACTGAAACCACACTACCTTTCGTTTAAAAAAAAAAGTACAACCAACAAAGCAGAGCATTGTTAATTATGGTTTCTCCAGGTTTACTGCAAGTGCCCCTCCCGCTGAATTCGAAGGCGCTCCTTTTCCACTTGCAAACGCTCTTTTTCAATTTGCAACTTCTCTGATTCAAACTTCAAGAACTGCAGCCTTTCCTTCTCAAGCTGCAAACGCTCTTTTTCAATTTTTAGTTTTTCAGTTTCTAGATCCAAAGGCTGTAAGGCAGGTTTTTCAGACTGACTGGAGTCATTCTCCACGGCAGGTTTTTCAGCGTGCAGAGCTTCAAGCCTCAACTTCTCTCGCTCAATTTGTAACCGTTCCTTTTCCAGCTGCAACTTCTCATGTTCCAGGTCAACATGCCGCAACCGTTCTTTTTCAATCTGTAGGCGCTCCTTCTCAACTTGCAGCCGTTCTGCTTCAATATCCAGTCGCTGTTTCTCCAGCTCTAGCTTCTGTTTCTCCAGGCTAATCAGTAGATGGGAATCTTCATAGGCCAACCTAGCCTGAGCAGAGCTTAGGTTTCCAAATTCTTCAATGTGGGTGAAATCAGGAAGATCACTTTCCTTTTTGGAGTCTGGCAACACTGAGGAAAGAATCTCCTCTTCTTCCTCAATAGGAAACTAAAGAAATAAACCAGAAATTTAATAGTGTCCCATTGTAACATACACTCATCAAATGAAAATAAAATGAGGGGCCTACAGTTAACATTGACAGTCCACAAATGTATGGGTTCTACAATTGCAGAGACTGACAAAAGATGTTACAAATGTGGTGAGACCACTCAAAAAAATAAATAAAAATAAAAAAGGAGCTTCATGCCCTGACATCCTCTCAACTGAGTAACTACAGGCAATTTTACTAATAGCTTGGTTCACTAAACTCAAATCCATGACAAGGCATAATCACATTGCAAGCTTCCTTCTATATATCAGCTGTCGCTTGCAGTATATTTCATGCAATGAAATATATTATGTAGCATGTTACACTCTAATATTAGTGGAGGAGGGATGGAAATACAGCCTACAGCTTTCAGTAGCCATGTCATCTCCATATTTTTGTTCTGTTTTGTTCTTGTTTCAGCTTCTAATGCAACCAAGAATATGTCAGTAAGGCTACATCAACTATTTGAGTAATTTCTTACTCCCTACAGTTTTTTTTCTAAAAAATGTATTCCATGAGCTACAAAGAAAGAACTACACTTATTAAACATGACTATGCACAAGGAACCTGTATGCACAAAGAAATTCCTCGACGTCATGTCAAAACATTTGCCAAATTGTCTTCTGTGCCCCTGTCAAATTATCATTGAAGCCTGTCACAACACAATATACCACAATGTCCAAATAATATATATCAAAATGTTATTCCTATCTAAAAGTGCAATACTAGCCAGCAGCTATCCAAGTTTTACATGGCATCTAAAAAAGATGTTCAAGATAGAGATTTTGGAGCTTGTGGGAAATGGAAGGTCGACTGCTATGAAACAAACACTAAGGTCACCTCAGTGTGTACCTGTTCTGTCTAAACTAAAAATGTGCAGTGAATGTAGGCTTCTCATTAAACCTAAGAAATAAGAGTGAATTGTTAGTACAAATTGCAACTTGCTTTGCAGTTGAGCAAGAAAAAATGTGTAAGAAGTAATTTATACATATGCCATCTATACTAACTGTATAGGAAGTACCTACTTCAAAATTCTGCGGATCTTCCTCCTCTTCTTCTACTTTGATCTCAGTTAATGATCCACCTGCTTCTCTGAAGTCTGTGATATTCTGCCATTCAAAACCAGATTCATTTGGAAATCCCATTTTCTCATCAATATCTTCATTGAGAGAGTCGTCCAAATCAGACGATGGAAGGTGAAAGCCAGCACCCACAAGTTTTATGTTGGTATTCAGACGCTTCCGCTTCATAAGGGCTCGCCAATCAAGGTATCGTCTTTTGACTTCTGTTCCTGTCCTCTGTTCTCCTTCACCTACAGCATTCACACACTCTGCTATTTCCTCCCAAGCCTTCCGTTTCATCTCATTAATAGTTGTATTCAGTTGTTTGGAAAAAAGCACATCTCTCCTTTTTCGGATTTCTTTAAGTAGTGTTTGAGTTTCCTGCACACTAAAATTGCTTTTCCTTTTCCTTTTCAGTTGTTTCATCTTTTCCAGTGTTCTCTATACTTCTTCCTGCAGCAGATTTTAAAAAAGGTTATTGCCCTTCTGCCTTAATAACCACCATGGAGCTCAGTTTCTTAAGTAAATAACAAAGTAAATATTGAACATCTGTATACAGATAGCACTTATATGATGCCAAAGTCATCTGTGTTACAATCATAATCATGATGAATTAAAAGATCCTCAATTAAAGTAACAAACAAAGTAGTTTCTTTATATGCAACATAAACACTACAGCTATTTTTACGCAGCTCCATGGGTTTTATCTGGATATCCAAAGCATGTCAAAGATGTGCCCAATGTTTAAGAAAATATTCTGCAACCAAATCTGATACTTGTTTAAATCTGTGTTGCTTCTATAATATTTTAGTCAACATCAGACACATATTTGAAATATCTGCAGTAATTTAAATTTATCTCAATTTTTTACAGATAGAATATGAAATCCTGATATTTCTCAAATTTTACATAACTAAAATTCAACACACAGACTATCTATCTATCTATCTATCTATCTATCTATCTATCTATCTATCTATCTATCTATCTATCTATCTATCTATCTATCTATCTATCTATCTATCTATCTATCTATCTATCATACTTGCATACCACCCAATGACTCTGTAAAATCAGTTAAATCAGACAATGGCAAGAAAGACAGCATAAGTATGCTGTGGCTCAAAAGAGAATGCCCATAAAAGGTTTTGTGAACAGCCTACTCTTCATCATCCTCTTAAATGCCAGGAAGAAGGGAGACTGAAAAGTTATATTCACTAATGTACTATTTACACAACTCAATTATGAATCAGTCTAACCAGATGTTTTTCAGACAAAAAGTACAGAAATATAGAACAAATGGTTCAGAAGCTTCCCTGAGCAGACCATTCTCTGGAGTACTACTAGTGTTTCTACTCCAGTCCCTTTTGGCTGCCACTTACAGAGGTAGGGGAGAATTTCTCTCAGAGGCCAAAAGCCAATGGCCTACTTTCATAAATAATTCCAGAAACAGGAGTTTCTCCCATTCTCTCATTCTGCTGAACACCGCCCCCCCAGTGCCAGTGACCTAATTTAGAGTGTTTGCCAGTCCTCCAGGATAGGGCATGCAAACAAGCTTTCAGTTATGGGGGTCACAGATTATGGCAAAAACAGCAGGATCCAGCAGACGTACACAACTAGGTTCCAGCAATAGTGTGCCATTGTGTGCAGAAGATTCACATTTAGGGATTAAGATATTATTCTAAGCTATTATGGAGTCAGTTATTTTTTCTGAATAATTACTTCTAATAGCTCACCTTCTTTGGTTTGGTTATTGCCTGTCATTAATCAGTACCAGGAGCAGTGTGGGGGTGTTTGGAGGGAAATTAACAGAAAGAACTGAATCAGAGAAAACCTCATGGAAGAGTTGGAATATGCAAAATGTGTTGGACAATCAATTTTCATATTCACACATTAGAGTTCTCATTGCCTTTGGTTCTGGGTAAGACAATGGTCATCATTATCTGTTATGCACAGATTGTATGGAAACTACTGAAAACATTGCAGGATTATAACAACACAATAGAGCAGTAGCTACATCTGCAGTGACAGGATTAAATAATTCTTTGGCCTGATCCAAATGGGCTGTTTTACTGTTCCTATGTTCAAACCACCAGCAACAACATGCTGCTCTGAAACATTTATACTTTAAATACTTCATTCAGTAGCAGCACAATACAGTCTTGCTTTCCTAAGCTATCTTGCCTACTCCAAAGGTTACTGGCTAAGAATCAGAAAATCATAATATAAACTTTCTTTCATCTCTTCCTTCTGTTTTACAGACTATTTTCTTTAAATAAAAAGCAGGGATAATTAATTGAAAAAAATACAACAAATACCGGATATATTTACAAAGATGCTGAACTTCTTCCAAAGCTACTTAAAAGTCTTATAGTTTCTCTTTTAAATAATAATTTTCCTGGCTCCTTGTGCTCCATTTTTTATCATTAATTATTAGTCTCTGCATAGATCATAGCAATCAGGAATTCAAGTTAAGAGGAATTATGGGGCTACTCTCCTCTGATGGAGAGTACAACACTATTATTATATAAGTATAATTCAATTAGTGGTTTTTATCACTCTGAGATTCTTAGAGTAAAACTTTATTATGCCAGAGTAAAATAAAAAATAAGCATAAAGGTACTTGGTCAATATATGACAGCTGTAAAGTTAAAACCTCAACTTAGTACTGTATTAGATTTGCAATGACCTTTAAAAAAACATTTGATTGAATCTGTCTTGCTCTTTTTCTCCTGCTAATTTGAAGTGCTGAGAGACTGACTAGAAAGGTACAGTATTTGCCCTACTGTTTGTGCCATGTTTCTCACTGTGCCTTTAGAGAATTTCAGCACTAATTGCGAGTGGATACAATCTTTTGTCATGAGTATACAGTATATCCACTGTATGTCAGGCCTTGTGTGGTTAATTTAAATGCCAGGGTGTTATAGAAAAGTTTGCACCAGCTCAGGACAAACTTCTTTGTGGTCAAACACTGAGTGTTATATTCCATTCTTAAGTACTAAAGAGTACTGTACAGTGGGGTCTTGACCTGAGAACTTAATCCGTATTGGAAGGCGGTTCTCAAGTCAAAAAGTTCGCAGGTCAAATCTGCATTTCCCATAGGAATGCATTGAAAACCATTTGATCCGTATCTGCTCTTTTCCGTCCATAGAAACTAATGGGAAGCTGCTATTCTGCCTTCGACCACTAGAGGGGGATAATTTGTTTCTTTTTTTCTTAGGTCAAGAAAGGTTCAGGGAAGGCAGGGAAAATACAGTCCAGGCAGTACCAGGCAGTCTGAAGACTGTCTCCCAATCCACTCTCTAAACGCTGGGAGGAGTGAGGAAGCAGACAGGCACCCTTTTCACTGGCCAACAGTTAACTGAAAGTTCTAATTTTGCACTTTCCCTGCCTCCCACGTGGTTTTTTTCCAGTTTTTTTCAGTTCGTAACTCAAATCTAAGTACGTAAGTCAAGTCAATATTTTCCTATGAGAGCGGTTCGTAAGTCAAAATGTTCGTAACTCGGGCCGTTCGTAAGTCAAGACCCCACTGTATATAAACTGTAGTAAATCACTGATATAGCACTAACACTGTAGTAAAAAAAATCATGCTTACAGAACCGATGACAGGAGGTGAAGACAAATCTTGTAATGAACAGAATTTTATATTTGGCATAAGAATTATTAATCCCCAATATTATTCATTCTCACAAAATGATAAGATTTGAAAACTAATTTTAGAATTATTACGGTGACTATTTTTGATAATTAAAAGAAATCATCCCCACCATGCTTTTATTTACTTTACTTTTATTGGATTTTTGTCCCGCCCCCCAGACAAAGTCTACTCGGGGCAGCTTTGCTGCAACCTCCAGTGGCTCCCTCACAATGAAGGGTAATTCCATGGGCATTCTGGGATGTGTTTAAAGCACAGTTTGCTTTAAACCTACATTCACAGGAAGTGAATATTATTATTTTTAAAAATCGTCACAGCTGATGACATCAACAACTTTATATGGCACAGCTGTACAAACATGGTTTCAGTCATGAAATACAGGAGGAAAGAGCTTCTCTGAAAGCATTTTTAAAACATAGCTTGAAACTGAATCAGTTCGAACTATAACAATGCTAATAGTTTAAGGTTACAAACAACTCAGAACTGTATGAGAATATTTGCAATATGTTTCAGGATCAAGACTGGATTTTAAAATAAATAAGTTAACATTGGCGTAATCCAAACCAAATTAAACACAAAGTTACGCAACAGGATTTTACCAGGTTTAAAGACCATATAGTGCTGGTAACTCTTTTCTTTGCAAAACAGCCTGGTTCTCTTCCTTTAATAATTGACCTGTTTCTGATAGGTGTGTTTACTGCTTTTTCAACATAGGTACATTATTGTTCATACAAATCTTCTGCTTTCAAAAACTTGCAAAGACTGTAAATCTTAGGAAGATAAATGATATTTTAGTCTAAGCCTCCCGACTTAAGATTTGAATTATTTCCGTTTAGCCATAAATACCTAAATTTCATTTGATGCTCCCTCTATTGCTCTCTCCATGTCCATTACTGTATTTGCTTCTTCTCTACCAATTTTGTTCTTCAGGCTTGATCCTGATTTCTCAGCCTTTTCTCAGTCAGAAATCCTTTGTGAATTCTAGTTTTGCCAGCATTCATTCCCCAAATGAAGATCTATTCATGCAAATAAGCCATGTAAAAGTTCCATTTTTGGTAAAAGAAAAAATGATTCTAGGACTCATATTCCAACTTCCTATTTGATGCCCACAACAATATTTCTCTAGCTGTCCACCAAAATTCCAGTATCTCTTTCTTCAGTAGCAATAACTAATTTAGAATGCTTTCTTGCATAAATAGATTTTGAATGGCATGTATCATACTTTTCACTTATCAGCACCAAATGGCATCTAACATTTCTGTTTCCTAATAAACCTACTTCAATACCCAATTGATCATCTTACAAATATAAAGAGTGTACATTCCGCTCTCAGTACAGATCTCAGACCACAGCAAAATTTGAGAATAAGTTAAAGATGGCAATGAAGTTGGAGGTTATTCTATATTCTATTTTTGGTTCAGGTAGACTGCCACTGATACCAGATCACTTTGGTCATGAAGCACTAGTATTATACAGCATCACAGAAAAAAATTAGTCACATTTCAACAAAAGTCATCTAACCAGACATTTATCTACAAACCTCTCATCATGCAAGGAAAATTTGTCACATTTCAACAAGAGTCATCTAACCAGACATTTATTTATCTACGAACCTCTCATCATGAAAGGAAGTGAAGACTGGCAGCTATTGTGATAAAACAGGGGGGAAAAATATGTGAGCACCAGAACTATTTTTTCTACTCTAAAATAACTGGCTGGGAAGAAAAGAGGATTTAAAAGGCTATGGCAAAGAAACAAATCACTAATCTTGCACAAATCAACTTTCTTTGCTAACAGAGATCTCCTGGGCTTTGATGAACTTGTGTGTTCAAATTATGAAGCCCTGAGTCATGTTAAGTACACTCCTAAACCCATGAGCACAATGTAACTCCCTCGCTGGGTGTTTTTAAAAGCCATTTAAAAACTTGGCTCTTTAGGCAGGCCTTCCCTCCAGTCAATTAATTGCTTTGTTTCTTTAATTTCCCCATCTTGACAATGTATATATCCATTAGTTAGTTGGTTCTATTATTAGGTATCATTATGCATATTATTTTATTGTATTTTATCATTTATGTAAGCCACCCCGAGTAGAGTTTGTCTAGAGGGGCGGGGTATAAGTCTAAATAGAGCACAGTAAAAGTAAAATAAAATAAAGTAACTTGCACTTCAGGCTTGCAGACTACAATGATTAGAGTACTGTGGCTAGCACTTTTAGCCTAGCTATGGACTGCCTGCCAAGACTTTCAAAAGCTGAACTATTAAGCATTATTTATATGACTTTAGATAGATAAAACAGATAAGAGACCTGGGTGTGATGGTGGATGACGGTTTTCGGGATGGTTCCCTATTTTGAGATAATATCTGATGTTCCACAAATCAGAAACTACCTCTGTCGATTCCTGATGGCTGATTCCAGACATTTTTAAGCAAACCACCAATTCTGGCCTGTCCTGCACTGGTCAGACCTCACTTGGGGTACCATTTCTTGTTCTGAAAACAACACAGATTAAGGAAGATATGGACACACTCGAATGTGTCCAGAAGAAGGCAGCCAAAATGGATCTAAGAACTAAGATCTATAAGGAACAATTAAGGGAGCAGTAAGAGGATTTTTCTGGGGGTAAGGGCTGTTCAGCAGTGAAGCCTACCTTGAAAATGCCAGACTCAGTTTTGTTTCTGCACAGAGGTTTAAAGGCCAACTGTCAAAAATGCTTTAGCTGGGATTTCCTGCACTGCCATAAGATATAACTAATGACACTGGGGTCCCCATCAACTCTACAATTTTACCACCCTATAACTCAACTGAATAGAGGGTAGAATAGAGCACATTATAGCACTTAGAATGAGGGTGGGAACACTTCTAACACTTCCTTCGAAAAATCCCTAGCAAATTAAGCCTGACTTAAATTGTAAATTGGCCTAGAAATTCTGCCCTGATTTTCTTGCTTTCTATTTAGGTTTGGGTGGGAGCATTCAAAAATATGTACAAGGAAGGAGTAAGAGCCCAAGGAAGCATGCAAGGAAGACAAGATGCTCCAAATCCTGCAGCTCTAAAAGGGGTTGGGGGATATGGAAGAAGTGATAAAAGAAACGAAAGAGGGCTACAAACTAAAAACTACGTCTGAACTCACCTCACAACATTCTGTAAGGAAGGCCAGTTGGATGGTACAATTTAAAAAAAAAAAAACCTTGCCTGGAACTACTACCTCAGAAGTCCAAAAGGCAGAATACAGTAAAAATAGTACAGTAAATGAATAATACCAGGCTCGTACTGCCATTTATGAAGACTAGGAGCCTAAAAAAACAAATAAACGGGGGGGGGAGAGATAGTTAGGATACTCAGGAGCCCACCCTTCCCCTAGAAGTAGGTGCCCTGAGGAAGGGATCTAAAGAGGCACTTCGGAGTCAATTGGGTGGGGCACAACAGGGAAGAAAAAAGCTATTTGCTCCTGCCTCCCCCCCCCCCTCAGTTCGTGAAGGAAGAAGCGGCTCCCAAATTCGCACGTCAGAGACGGCGCCTCGGGGGAGGGGAAGGAAGCCTATTAGAAAAACAGCGACGTGGGAACGAAGGTAGAGAGGGAGGAGGCGAAGGAAAGCCTCTCGGTTCCCTCATGAACCAGGACCTCCCCGCGCCCCACCGACGGATGCAGCTCCTCCTCTTCCTTCCTGCTTCCTTCCCACCCTCCCTCAGTAGCGCAAAAAGCGACTCACCTGCGCGCAGCGCTCCCCCCCTCGGAACGCCGGCCTTTTGACCCACCCCCCTGCCTCCGGTGATCTCGCCTGTCACTCAGCCTGGCACGTCGCGCTCCTATTGGGCAGCGCCGCGCGCCCCGTCACTCGCTCGCGCTCCCCAACGGTTCCAAACGCTTCCCCGTGTCCCGCCCCCTTTTCCCAACTCGCGCCACTTTGCCAATCACTGGCCTTCCCTCCCTCTTTAATGCCGCGCCTCTCTGGGGCCCTTGGCGATTGGCCGGAACGCTTGCTTGTCACCGGAAGGGGGATGCTCACTGGAAACGAAAGAAAGACGCGGGAGATGATTCCCCACGCCCCGCCCCCATCCCCTCGCCGCGCCCTGTGAGGAGAGTCGGTCAGACGAGACGGCGAGGAGGGGTAAGGTGCCGTCTGGACGCGTGGCTTGGGTGTTACCTTTGGTAGACTCCCACCTAGGCCGCGGGCGGTTCCAAAATTAATACCGACAATGTGTCCCCAGGAAGTCTTACCTCACAGCCGGTCTCTTCTACCAGGACCGGGCGCGGGTGGGGGGGGGGGGCGAACAAGCAAAGGCCACCCACTGCAGACGGCCCAGATTGAGGGGGGGGGCTATGTGCCTTGCAGCACCCTGGGGCAGGAACAGGGCGCACCTCTCCCCTTGAACCGCTCTTATTTGTTTCTGCTTTTCTCAGACCAGGACCTTTGGACAGGTGTGGTTTCGAAGGAGTGGCTGGCACGACCGCTGGTCACTCAGGTGCTCGCTCTCCTGGCTTGCTTCCCTTCGGGCTGCATCTAGGGGACTGCCAGGAATGTAAGCGACAGGGTGGCTTTGATTTAAATCACGGTTTAAATCATAATTTAAATGATGTTTCGTTTAGATGGTTTTGATGGTTAACATTTTTTTTTAAATCATATATTAAAATTTAAATTGTAATTTAAATCAATATGATTATTAAAAAGACAGTGATTTTTTTAAAAATCCACCCTGGTAAAAGCAGGACAGTTCAATGCATTCCAATGGGGGTGGGTGGGAAATTCACCAAAAATTAACGAAGACTCAGAACAAAGCCAAATTAAGTTTGCAACTGTTTCACAAGGTGCACTAACGATTCCAAGCATTTAAAACAGGTTTCAAACATTTTAAGACACTTTTAAATGATTGGAAACGGACATTGTGAAGTGAAAATCGCCCATAGAGAAGATCGTTAAACGATGCGGAAAATTCCTCAAAAAACCACATTGCTAAGCGAATACAGGCAAATGTGAAGTACAAATGGAAGAGGCAGGATTGCAGCTTGAGATTGGTAATCAAATAGTCAAGGAAGACATTACTTTGAACAAGTTCAGATCTTGATGGCCAGATGAACTGCATCCAAAAGTATTGGAGGAACTGGGTGAAAGACTCTCAGACCACTGTTTATTATTTTCTAGAAATGGAGGATGGGTGAAGTGCTAGATGCTTGGAGGCTAACACTGGCCTCATCTTCAGAAAGGAAAAAAAAAACACCTGTGTACCAGTCAGCCTGACATCAATCCCAGGAGAAATTCTGGAGCAGATTATAAAGTGGTCAGTCTGCAGGCAATTTGAATACAATGCAGTAATAAATAGAAGCCAACATGGATTTGTCAAGAACCACTCCTGCCAGACTAATCTCACTTTTGGATTCTGTAACCTCCCTGACAGGGGAGGTGGGAATGCTGTAGATATAATAATGTATATCTTGACTTCAGCAAAGCTTTTGACAAAGAGTTCCATGATTTTCTGATTAGCAAGCTAATTAGGTGGGCTGGATAGAGTAACTATCAGGTGGATACATAGTTACAGAGGTGTACTGAGAGCTTATCAGTGGTTCCTCAAACTGGGAGGAGATAACAAATGACCACATGGCTCTGGTCTGGACACAATGCACCAACATTTTTATTAATGCCTTGGTGTGAGGGTGCGGGGAATGCTTATCAAAAAATTTTGATGACACAAAATAGCAAATACTGTGGAAGACTGGGCTGAAAATAGCAGATAAAATTTAGCAGGGGTAAATGGAGTTCTACAACTAGGGAACAAAATTAATACCAGAAGTGGGATATTCGGCTCAATAACACTACAAGTGAAAGGGATCTTGGTATTGTTGTAGATCACAAGTTGAGCTTATAGTATGATGTGGCTGCAGAAAAGACAAATGCTATTTTAAGCTGTATTAAGAGAAGTCTCTATATCCTTAAGATACTAGTCCTCCTGTATTTAACCAATTACCTCGGGAGGTGGTGAGCACTCCCAGCGCTGGAGGCATTTAAGAGAAAATTAGCGAACCATCTTTCAGATATTCTTTCATCTCAATTCCTTTATTGTGCAGATGGTTGTACTCAGTGCCCTTATAGACCATTTCCAGCCCTGTTATTCTATTACTGTGTCTTGGTAGGCAGAATCAATTAGTTTTGGAATTGAAAATTGAAATTATCCAATTTTCATAGAGGTTGGAGATGACAATAGTCACTTCTTCCAAAAGTTAGTCACCGTAGTTATGGGCACCCTTACAACAGGTGCCCTGTAAACTGTAGAAGAATAGCTGTAGACAGGATAAAAGGAGGTGGTGTTGCATGTAGTCCACTTATAATGAGACACAGTTTTCTAGAGACTGTCAAACCAAAGCAATAAGTTCAGTGTTCAGCAGCAGACAGACCTGAGGCACTGGACCTTAGCAGATGCCAAAGAAGCCAACTCTGCACATTGATCTAAGCAATTGTTAAAAAAAAGTGTGTTCTCATTAGAGTTAGGTCTATTCAGAAATAAGCCTTTGTTCTTCACTGTAAAGAAAAATGCTCTGCTGTGGAGGTGGTTTTGTATTATGAATTGCAGCGTAAGCATAATATACCAGTTCTAATGCTCTGTCCTTTTATTACGCAAATTAGCAAATATTCTAGCATTCATATTACCATGGCTTATTTTTACAACACAATGGTTTCACCAAGCATCAGCACTCTCCATTGTATAAGTGCTACTAGCCTGAAACAGGGCTAAAAGAGCTTTGTAATTTGCAGAACAGCCCAGAGATTTCTGATTCTCAATTCAGGATGAGAAAGCATATTTTGTTCTATAAAAATAATTTCTTAAAATACACTTTTTTGTTGAAATTTGACATTTAAAAAATTCAAATGTGATAGAAAGTGGAACTCAAAAGAATAAGCTCTGCAAACACAAGACTTTGTGTATATGTGTATGTACTGTGTGCCGTCAAATTGGAAGTGACTTATAGCAACCCTATAAAAATTCAAATGTGAGAGAAAGTGGAACTCCAAAGAATAATCTGTGCAAACACAACACTGTGTATATGTGTATGTACTGTGTGCCATCAAATTGGAAGTGACTTATAGCAACCCTAATAGGGCTTTCAAGGTAAATGAGATGTTTAAGGAGCAGTTTTATCAGTTCTACTCCCCCAGTGAGTTTACACGGCAAGTGGGAATTCAAACTCTGTTGTCCAGACCCCTAATCTGTCATTCTATCCCCAGGCCACACTGGAAAGAGTGTATAGGTCTTAATACTTTGGGAAACTTTGTTTAACCTGGTTTGTGAACTACGAATCCCCACCATTTTCCAGGCAGTCTTCCCAAGGCTACAACAATACCTAGTGAATCTGGCCAATGCTGATGGCTGAGATTTTCATTCAATTTATTTTAATAAGAATTTTCCCACACTTACCATGCTTGATATGTTCATTTAAATAATAATGGACAGCCTTTGAAAATCTGAATGTGGAGAAAATGAAATTCCAACCAATGACAATAACAATGGCAGCAACAAAATGACTCAGTATTTATCCGTATACTTTTAAAATGAAAAATTATTGAAGTAATCATTGATCCATGTATATGCACCAAACAAGGTAGATAAAGAATGAAGTTTAGGTGGGTGGGTGTGGCAATCCCACTCGTTGGGAGCCACAGTGTTTAAAGTTTATATACAATTACTTATATTAGGCTGGTATCTAGATAAGTTTGAACATCTGTACAGTGGGGTCTTGGTTTTAGGCTGGTATCTAGACAAGTTTGAACATCTGTACAGTGGGGTCTTGACTTGAGAACTTAATCCGTATTGGAAGGCAGTTCTCGTCAAAAAGTTCTCGGGTCAAATCTGCATTTCCCATAGGAATGCATTGAGAACCATTTGATCCGTATCTGCTCTTTTCCGGCCACAGAAACTAATGGGAAGCTGCAATTCCACCTTCGACCACTAGAGGGGGATATTTTGTTTCTTTTTTTTCTTAGGTCAAGAAAGGTTCAGGGAAAGCAGGGAAAATACAGTCCAGGCAGTACAGTACCAGGCAGTCCGAAGACTGTCTCCCAATCCACTCTCTAAACGCTGGGAGGAGTGAG